TCCATGCCCTAAAAAATGCCATAAACAGTTGAGCTTTCTCTTTACATATTCATGAGTATGTGAAACAGGGTGGCACACTGCAGAGATATTTGTTCCACCTCAAATATCTGTTGCTTTGAAATACACAGCACAAAACATTATTGTTCATTCCATTTTCTATGGAGGCAATAGAAGTCAAGTATTCTGCTTTCATACTATTTCTGTAAGGGACAGCATCTAAATATTTTAGCTGAGTGTCTAATAAATATTTCTTAAGTAATATGATATGAATGTACATTCTTTCTTACAAATATGCAAAGAATCATTAATACCTTCTTCCCATGCTACAACAATGTGAACTATTTAAAACAATTCTTGTTCCATTTGATAAAAAAAGTAATACCTTGAGAATTTTAGTGAACTAAAAACTCTCCTACTTTACTTCCCAAAATTCAGCTCAGATCAGTGTTTTCATGCTGCATTTCCAGTTCAGGTTTTTAATTTTTTTCTGTCATTTATTTTTCATTTTTTTACCTGACATTAAGCTTAACGTCTAAAACTAACAAATTTACCTAAATAGAGGTACTTTGACAATATCATAATATTATCTGGAAAACAATGAATTGTTTTTTTTTTTTTCCCCCTTTTTTTTTTTTTAAATAAAGCTAGAAAATTCCAGGTCAGCTTTCTACACCCTCAGGAATCAGCAGAAAGAGCCCAGATATTTTTACCCTAAGTAAAAACAGCTGAATTATCTCATTAAGATAAATCAATTATTGATTGTGTGTTCTTCTAAGTAAGCATTTTAGTAGAAAGGAGGCACTACTTTCTGCTCATATTAGCAAATCTAGGGAAGCTTCAAATAGGAATGCATCTTATCGGCATTGACTAGTTATACAGAAGCAAAAACTACATGTACCTCTCTATATAGTAGATTTGTGACCTCTAATCTGTATTTTTTTACCTTGATACAGAAGCACATATCTCTTTGCAGTTAAGAAGCAGTTTAGGGTTGCAATTTAACATACACTTTATGTCAGGAAAGAGGGTGCTGGCACAAAAGGAAGTAATTGAGTCTCCCTCCTACCTTCACATAAGTTTCAGCCATTTATCTGGAGCCTTTAACTATAGTTCTATGGTCAAACAGTGAAATCATATTGATCTAGATAAATCCAGAAATATACACACATATATGTATAATCACTCTCTGTATGTATAGATTTATAAACATACATATATTTAAAAGTCTGCTTTAATCCAAATCACCCCACAGCTTGCTTTCTTGCCCAGACAGCACAATGCCCTTTACAGCACAGAAGAGGAAACGAGCAGCAAGAACCTCAAAGGAGGACAGTGAAAGTATTAACTTTAGTCATTTTTATTTGTAGGTTAAACTATAGGAAACACAGTTGAAAAGGACTGTAAAATATGAATTATCAGGCAGCAACTTCTACTCTGACAGTCTAAGGGCTGACGATATTAACAAATGCAAAAGAAAAAAAAGACTTCAAATGTTCCCAATAAATTCTAAACTTACATTTATCATAATATACTTAGAATTTAATTTAAACTGACACTAAGAAAAGTGAGTGGATTGAATTTATTGTTCACAGGCAGAGGTACCTATAAGACTTTCAGACTGGTAGATTTTATAGAATCATAGAATCATTCAGGTTGGAAAAGACCCTTGGGGTCATCAAATCCAACCATCAACACCACTCTACAAAGTTCTCCTCTACGCCATATCCCCCAACACCATGTCTAGACGACTCCTTTTACCTCACTTCTACATAGAGACTGAAAATAAGAGGAAAAAAAAAAAAAGCTTTCCTACTTCTTTTCAACTGTGGATGACCTAGTAATCTATTTTAATTAACTGGATAAATTGAAATCAAGAAAATATTCTCTTTGCATATGCAGCAGAGGCTACTGTTTCGCAAAGCTACTGTAGCATTTATAGCGAATTTGCTTAGTTAGTGACTTTCACTGAGGGGTTTGTTTGCCATCAAAAATTTCAGAAATACATGCTGAAAAAGAAAAGATAATTGATTTTGATCCATTTTAGTCAGAACTATAGTTGGTTAATGACTTCTTTCTAGACCCTTATAATACAAATTATCACAGCATCATAAACAAAAGAGGTTTCTCTTTGTGGTCTGATTATAAAGATAAGGCCAAAACAATGTATTTGTTTTGTGTACCTTCTGAGATGTGAAAATTACTCTGATTTGCATTTTAGAGCTTCTTAGAATCCACATGTCATTTTTAGTGCCGCTTATTTGTTCCTGAGAAACTCAATAAGACCTGCATTTGCTTACATCAGTTTTACATTCAGTGCACTGTCTCCAGACTGCCCTGATTTCAGAATACCATCTAGGCATGTGCTTAACTGTTAGTAAGAGTTAGACAGACCTAGAGTTTCATTTAAATATAATGACTCATTGACATTCAAAAATCAGCTAAAAAAAAAATAAAAACACCTGAAAAATCATCATTTCCATTTGTTTAGTTTCTGACTTCTGCAGGACTGCCTACCTGCAGGCTTTGGGAACTTTGCAGGTTTGGAAACCTGCAAAAAAAAATAGTTGGGAGCAGGGACCCTTCTGTGTCACAGAGCGTGCCGGTGCCCTGGTTTGTACCATTGCAATACAAATAATAAAACAAAGGGGAGAGGCATGTCTGGGAAACACAAATACTGTATCATTCAGATTCCTTTTGTTTTGCGTTATGTTTACTTATTTGATAGTCTTGTTTGTCCTTGATATGTTAAAGAAAAATAGTGTCAGCTTTTCCCTGTGCTGCTGCCGTTAATGAATATTTCCTCAAGAAGAAACTCCAGGGACATGACAGCTTTGTCTGATTTCTTTCCCTGCAGGTCCACAGAGAGAGCTGGCTTTGGAAACACATCTTAGAGATGATTAAAAGCCATTTTGACTCTCTCCAGGAAGTAAATGAGAAAAAGCTGTTGACTCCTGGAAAAAAAGCATGAAGTACTAACTGGTACCTTACTGGAGGTACCAGTAAGGAAGGTCAGCCCTGACAGGAAGAACATGCTCATTAGCAGGCATTTTAAAAGAGAAATTTAAAAAAAAAAAATATCAATTAGATGAATGAGTTAAAATCCCTGGATTTCAGTCATCTCAACAGTCAGCTTCAAAGATGGAGACTCACATGATGTTCCAGTGAAACAGCTGTGAAAAGTAGTGGGTGTACAAAATCAATACAAAACAACAATGCGCTCTGCTGTGGAGAATTCGGGGCAACCATGTGGGCACACACAGGTGCCATTCAGCGAGCAGAAGGTTGTTCCAGACACGACATCACTTATTGATACCCTCTGCAACAAGGCAAAAAGTTTTCAACCCATTTTCTATCATCTTCTGCACCCTGGGCATACCTAATAATTTGAGACATACCTGCCTGGAGGTGGTAGGACTGGCTACTTCAGATGAGACTGAAGGACTCATCATGTACATTTGTACTGGGGTCAACCTGACAAGGGGCCAGCAGTAGCTGCCCGTGAGGTATGACAGCAAATATAGGGCGTTTCTTGTCTCTTCCTTACTTGGGCATAAAGGATCATACCTTAACAACAGAATGTGACCAGAAGAGGAACTGATGCCCCCAATTCAAACAAGTATGACAGGCGGTTTGTGCACTGTGAAGGTTGGAGCTGACAGACCTGCTGGTACCCGGGAGCTTCTGAGCTCCCGAGGACTGGGGCGTGCTGAGTGAGGGCTGAGCGGACACAAGCAGCTCCTCTCAACTGCACAGCTACCGACCGACTCAGGCAAAGCAAATGAAATTAAAGAAATCAATGAAATTTTTCCACATTATCTCGTGTATTTTGCAGAGGTGTTCAAAAAGAAGTAAAGCGCAACAATATGATTTTAAGGATTGTTCTAAGGATCCTTCTTCTAAGGATTGTTCGCTTCCTTTGTTCTTCAAAAGTTTTGCAGAGGACTCCAAAATGCATTGTGAATGAGAGATTATAAAAAATAAAACATACTGCACCAATTGTTTTTCTCCTCTAGCAATTATATATGCTAGTACAAAAAACTGTGACTGAAAATGGTATTTAAAATTAGAATGTAATTTCTAATATATTGTCTCAAATCAGAACACCAAAGGAAAACACTGAAGAAAGGCAGTCACCTGTTATCTAAAAAAAAAAAAGCAAAAAAACAAGAACATCTTAGTCTTCAAAGAGCACAGCACGATACATTTTAAAATAAGATAGAAAATGGGAGTACATCTACAACACAACCAGTTCTGTCATTAGAGACAAATTAATAATTTTCTTCACTAATCTGTCTATATGAAGCATAACTGTTTTCTATTAGAGCATGATGGCACTTATTAACAGAAATCCTCCTACTTAAAATAGTCACTGGAAGGAAATTTCAAATAAAGTTTTTTGAAGAAGTTTACTTACCATTGCTCAGCCTCGGTAATGTAATTGTGCTGGTTTGTAGACCATAACAGTATTCCATTTCTAGTGTCACGAAAATACAGTCTGGCACTGTGTCAACAAGACCCAGCTTCACCATGCACAACTTGATGGCATGTGGTACCTTCTTTAACTTATCCAATGTCCAGCTTCCCCCAGGAACAGCTGTTATATGTATATATACACATACACACACACCCTCCCTTCTTTAGTACTAGCAGATACTTAGCTTAAGCCTGACCCTGAAACTAAGCAATGCAGCATTTTCAAGGCTTCAGCCTTTTCATTTAACAGTTATCCCACTATATACCTTATTCTTGGTTGCTGTAAGGAATGCTGGATACAGATGAGAACACAATGGCAAAATTTTTTGCTTGGCAAAGTTAATATCCTTATATTAGTTATATCCTTAATATCCTAATATCCATCACTGACTGAGAACAAATTGTTTAATTATAATCCAAATTACTTCGGCATTAAATTGATAATAGATAAGCAACACAGTGAAAAGTGACTGTACAAGTATATAGTTTTCCCTTCAAACTTGCGATTTTATTTTATTACTTTTTAGCTCTGTCCCATGGAAGGCAATGAAGAGAAACCACCAGGGCTGAGAACAGAATGCAGGCTAAACAAAACTGATTAATAATGGGAGGTAAGATGTGACTCACATTTCAGAGTGCCTAATAAGTGCTTATTAAAAAGCGGCTATTACAGCTAACACTTATTTTAGAAGGTTTCTTCTTCACCAGTGCTTACAACCAAAATTAAGGTATGGTGCTAAATAATGGTTAAGGATTGAAATGGAGCTTATTTTATTTTATGGTTAAATTAATTTAGGTATCCGGCGCCCTAAAGGGCAGAAACAATGTACAGTGACCCAAACAGCTGCCACCAGAAGCGATATTTTGTGGTAAGACACACCAGACTTATATCCATCCCGAGCAACGGGTTAAGAAATCCCTTGTTACAAAGACAGTGGAAACTTTGGTTTGAAGGCTTGCAATACATGTTACCATTGTTCTGCTAAGACAACATGTACATTATGGCTGGCAAAGAATAATGAGTAAACAACTGGAAAAAATAACATTTTTCCCTCAGTTTATATTTCCCTAATCATATGTAAAGAAAAATAAGGTACCCTTCAGTGACACATATAAGCAAAAAAACTTCTTCAAATCCATCCTTTAGCAGAAGTAGAATTACACGAGAATCCAAGCTTTCAAAGAAAGGAAGAGGACAGAAAGACAAAAAAAAAAAAACAAACCCAAACCAACACAACCAAAAACCCCCACATTTTCTAATATGAATGGGTAATGAAACAAATAGCCAAACTAAAAAAAATAAATTTCCTGAGCCTTCAAAAAACTTTATACCATAGCTATATTTCACTTCTCTAAAAAGTTAATGTTATCTACACAACAACTCTTCATTCTGAAATATAAATGACTTTAAAAAAAATTCCATCATTTTTGCTACAGTATCGTTCTTTTCCTACAATGAAATGCTGCAGAATCTGAAAGCCATTCCCAGAGAGTCTTGACCTTAACTGAAACCTTCAGAACAATTTAGCAAGACGTAACAATTATGCCTCAGATGTTAATATCAAAGAAGTGTATCTAAAAGATTGTTTAGTGCATAGTATTGCTACTTAGGCTAAGTCTTTGATAGTTCCAACTCGACTGATATTTAGCCATTCATATAAAGATAGAAAAAGCCTGTTGTATTGTTTTGTGTCAGTTTTCTTGCTTTGCTTTTTTGATTTGGGTTACTATTCTTGAATTTTATGCTCTATACATTTCTGTTTCAGCTCCTAACTCAGAAGACTGTCATCAGAACATAAATTATATGAACTTCCCATGAAATGAGTGTTGCCAGCTGTGCAATATTTTGCCATCATTTCTGCTTAGTCATTTTATTGTTTTCAGCCTCGCTGAGTGTCTGCCTTTTGCACATTAAGTAGTAGGACAACCATTTGGCACAGTTCTGTGTGAGCAGTGTCTCCTGTTAAAGACAGAGGACCTAATTTTCTACATATCAACAAGCAGAAATACATAGACATTTTGCTAACAGTGTAAAGAAAAAAAAAAAGACCAGAATATTTTAGAATAATTAGAGAATTATTGCAATACATGAAGTAAATAGGGTTTATAATTCTATTTCCTTACTATTCTGAATGCATATGTACTTTATTAAAAAAAATAAAGTATCTTCCCATTGTAAAAGAATTTGGGGTTTGAAGATTGGAGTCTGGCAGGGTTATTTGATTATTTCTTTTCTATAAGCCTGGCTGTCCTCTGAGATGTAACTTGTGGATTGAAGGACATTCATTCTTTATCATAAAAATAAAGATGAAATGAATGTGAGCGGGCAAAGGCCATAAAATATTGCTGAATGGCAGTTAGGATCTTGAGGTTATTAGTGGGGGGCTTTTGAAGCTGTCACCAGTATCAGCCTCCTGCTGCCAAGATACTTCAAAGGACACTGGTCTTTTCCCCTGCAGTCCTGCCTTGTATTCACAAGTATGGAAGAAAGAACTGAACAGCCTTGTATCGAACTTTAAGTTCATCATGTGGAGCTGTCAAGTAGTTCATAGTTCCTAACACTGCATTATGACAGGCAAAATCCAGACACGTAAATAAGCTCAGCAAGGAAAACAATCCCTCAGTCCTAAAGTTGTTGGGGATGGGATAACTTGAAGGGGTAACTATTTTTCTGGATAGACAAACAAAATCCTTCCCTCTTCACTCGGTACATTCACTGGATACACTGTTACTAAAGTTTTTCTGCACTGAAGATACAGTATTTCATAGCTTTTCAAAGTTTGAGGCATTTAAAATATATATATCAGAAACAAAGGTATTTTAGGACTCTGTCGCAGTTTAGGCCGGATTGGCCAATGACAAGAAGACTGATGCTTTCCCCACCTCTCACTCCAAGGAGAGAGATAAAAAGATTTAAGAGTTTGAAAAAATATACTACTTCTATGAATACTAATAATAAAATTCAAAAAGGGAATAATGAAATAGATAAGTTATTGCAAGATATAGCAAGATGTCCCCAGCGAGTACTAGGGAAGTTCCATACTGGACTCAGCAATGGATGGAAACTGGATTCTGGAACACACTGATAGGGAGCAAAGGCAGACGAACAGCCAGGGTCCTCCTCAGATGTTGGTCATTGAAGAAAGAGAGCCATTAAAGAATCAGCCATTGAAAAAGTGCTGACCCTTTGCTCCCTCAAGATGGCATGGGATTGAATACCCCATTGGTCAGTTTGGGTCGCCTGACCTGTCCACTCCTCCCCACAGAAGCAACCCCTCCACAGGGTAAACAACCAAATCAGCTGACCCATGGTGCCACAGCAACAAATATAAGTGGGAGCCTCTCTCACTGGACCGAAAGTTGGCTCTGCTCCACCCCAAGCCAGGACAGACTGTTAATCTAAACACTCAACAATCATGGATTTCTTGTATGGTCTCAGTTGCCATCAGTATTTGTGCTGACAGTATGCACAGGTGCTTCATTTTTTTTCTGGACTGGCTTCTGAGATCTTACACAGCAGGTCCCACAAGGAGAGAGGGGACCATTGACCATGCGGCAGCAGCAATGCTGTAGCTCATACCTGCTGTAGGAAAATGTAACTTCTTGCTGGGTTCCTCCAAGTGTGCAGGCCAGGACACAGACCTTTCTACTGCTCTGTGATCCCACAGAGGTAGATGTAGTAGGTCAGCAGATCTGCAGGCCAGGCTATGCAACTGTCTTTGGCATAGGTGTTACCATAGTGTGTAAGCCTCTTCTGTGCAGAGGCGCTGGGCTGAGGAAGGAACATCCCAAGAATGACCCAGACCGAGTCCCCCTGGCTCTGGCAGTTTTGTGCATCTGGCCAGGTAATTTGAAGATCTTACTGCTGGCTGCACCTCTGGCTTTGTAAAATGAGAACGACAGCAGCCTTCTCTGCACTTTGCCTTGAGACATGCAAATAAAAGCTTAAAGCAGCATTATGGGTTCATTAGTAACTAAAACTTTGCTTCACGTGAGCGAACATTTCCAAGCAGTAGTTTTCTTGCCTTGACTATATTAGGATGATATCCCACACCTTTCCGAGCCAATTTAGGAGACTGCCAATGCACCACTACCAATGCACAGCACTCAGTTCACTTATCCGTTTTCACGAAGAGGTCTCCTAAGCAGGTGCCAGCAGTGAGGCTCACACCAGCTCAAGCGACAAAAAAACACCCAGACATCTGGGTGTCTCCTGGGCAATGTGACATCCAAAATTCACCATCATCCCTCATTTCCATCAATAAGATCATGACTGGCCCAAATTCTTCCTGCTTGTTTTTAGGGCCTTGAGATGACTAAAACGCTGTCTTTAAGTCAGAAAAGAGAGGCAGGCACCTCCAAAGATTGATTTCAGTTCATTGAGCCTTATGCTGCTCATCTTTGTAGGCTGAACTAAGGTACAAGCCTAGGCATATTTTGCATTCTTCTTATGCAGAAGAACTTATATTTGTTTATAGATACAGCAACTGTATTGGATTGCCATAGAAAGCATTTACTAGTACACTAGTAAAATGATTCTGAACTGCTTTAACACTATGATATTTTCACATATATATAAGAAATCTTTTTTTTTTCCTAAAATGTGAGCATAAATTGTACAGGAAGTCATGCAAAACAGAATAAGTTATGCTAATAACATTCTTTGAATTAAGTCTTATGCTCTGGAGTATGCAGCACACACACTGAATGCTTGATTCAGGAAGCAGTAAGAGACTTTAAATTTACATTATATTCTGGCAATGATCATTCGTGTTGCTCCTTTCTGACCATCAGAAAATTACTTGCTGAACTTCAGGACTCCTTTACCTCTGTTCTGTTTTGAAAATCCAGTCACATGGGATCAACTCAAAAATCTCATAATTACGACTTGACATTAGTTTGACAGTTAGAGCATGCAGTGTGAGCATAGCCTGGTTGGTCTGACATTCTGAAATATAAAAATGCAAAGCCACCTGAGAAACCACATGAAAGAAACTCTGCTACCCTGGACCAAGCATATTAGGAGACTTTGAAGCTCCCTGCATAAGCTGATTTGAAACCCCTCCTTGTCTGTGATGAAAAAGTAGTACTGCCAGGCTTTCTGGTAGAAAGGTGAAAGTATCAAGTAAGGTAATCCTGGAATAACACAGAGACCTTTCTCAGATGGTAGCACATCATTTAAACTAAGGTCACAGTTAATATGCACCATCTCCTGTCATAAGAAAAAGGAGGAGGAGAAGTAATATTTGCATTGCTTACTATATTAAATTAGGAGATTCTTATTATTGAATATACAAAAGAGAGCAGCTTAATTCATTCCTTAAGGCCACAAATACTCTGACACATGTTCTTAAAAAATCAAATCACAGTTTTGACACATTAGGTTGATTTTACTTTACTACCCATTTCTTGCTAAGAGAAAATAGAACTTCACCTTTATATGAAACTAAGATTGTATTGAGAAGTAACACCAGTCAGCAAGGGGTTATTTCTGAAGGAAGGAGGAAGCTCACAGCCACAGGTGGGATGAGGCTTAAACCATGCTGCCAAAAGTCTTGATTTCAAAGACCCCTCACCATGTAAAGGAAATACACAAAGCAGAATTTCTTTCAGAATTACAGGATTATTCCTCTGATAACAAATTACCTCATTTAATACATCTTCCACTAAATATCTGATCAGATTGTGACATGTTCTCTTTAAAAGGCCTATCTACACCTTTAAATTCCAAAAGAAAAGTACACTTCACATTCCGTCAGAAAGGAATATTTTTAAAAAATCACTCCAAGAGTCAAATTGCTTGCGATCAGTCACAGAGTGCTATGCCAAGGTATGGGCTTTCAATTTCCACAGGTATTTAAGAGAGTG